ATAAATAATAAGATTTAAAGCAGGCCTAGATAGCACCCGTTCAAAGGCTTAGAGAATGAAATCATCACATTTTTCGTGTCCTTTGGCTGTACTACCATGCCAGAGGCCTGGCATACGGAACTGAAGTTATGCCTGAGAATCATTTTGATTGAAATAATGATGAAGCATTTTCATGACTTTAAAGTCAAAAGGTATAAGTGCAAATTCCTATAATGATGTAGTACATAATTTTTTTTTGTAGAAACATGAGAAAAACTTGACAACTAAAAAATTCCCATGGTTTATAACATACCTGATATGTAAATTTAGCTACATAAATGTAGATACTTACATAAATGCCTGTTTTAAGAAGGATTTAGGCTGGGTGTGGTGGTGCATGCCTGTAATCCAAACAGCTAGGGAGGCTGAGGCAGGAGAATCAAAAGCTCAAAGCCAGTCTCAGTTACTTAGTGAGTCCCTAAGCAACTTGGCAAGACTCTGTCTCAAAATGAAATGGGCTGGGGATGTGGCTCAATCATTAATCACCCTGGATTCAATCCCCAGTACGTATGTACATACATACATACATAAAATAAGGGTTTAGTGAGTTCCTAAATATTGAGAGGATTGGGGCTGGAGTGCAGCTCAGTGACAAAGCACATGCTTAACGTGTGCAAGGCCCTGGATTCAATACCCAGCACCAAACAAATAAAACAGAGAGAGAGAGAGAGAGAGAGAGAGAGAGAGAGGAGAGATTTATCATGAGAAATTAGAAATGTGTAAGGAAAAAAAAAGGCAAAGCAATAGGCATGTGGCTGGCATAAGAATGCCATGTCATCTTGCTAGATGGGCCAAAATCTTAACTTTCTAGCAGCCTACATGAAAAGAAAAATTCTCTGCTCAGAGAAGCGAGAAGTACTTGTGATAACAAATCTAGAAAGATTTCTATTTCCTGTCCGCTCTCATGGAGAAAGCACTTTGAAGTGGGTCATCTTGTCTCTCGGTACAGTTTCTATTGTGCAAAACTAGTAAAGTGTAGTGCAGGTCAGATTTTTGTATGAACTGGATAAGTTAAGAAATTTCCTGTCCCATGTGCTGGAGGGTGAGGGCAGGGGAAGAAGAGGGATCACTTTCACTGTTAGCCAAAGGAACAAGCATCATGGAATGGAAGGACTACCATTTGGTGAGAAAGTTTAAAGGAATAGGTTTTCTATATTCAGGGTGACATATACCAGATTTTTGTCTTTTTATCTCAATTGACTACTGCTAGTTTATGGGTTTCTATCACTTAGAACAAACAATTTCTTCTGGGCAAATTTAGCATCATGGTTTGCCCCCTAACCTCTGTCTTGAACCTGCCCCTCCCTTTCATCTCTTGAACCCAGGTCCTTGCATATGCTAGACAAAAACTCTGCCAACTAAGCTATGTCCTCAGCCCTTCAGCTCGCCTCTTTCTTATCCTGTGGTTCCTTTATGTAGTGCATATTCTACCTAAAAGTATGTAGAGGCCATGAAAATTACCTGGGCAGGAGTGTCAATTAGGCAGCTTGGGAAATAGCCAACTAAGTAGCTTCATGGTTCACATTACATTTTTTAGCTATTAAAACATTATACAGTGCTTCTTAAACTCAAGTACATATAGAATCACCCCAAAATTTCTCCAAAGTATAGATTTCTGGACCCTACAACCTCAGGTTCTAATATTGTAAATCAAGTGTTGAAACTTAGGAAACAAATTCCATAGATGAATCTAATTTGAGAAAAGCTGGCTTAAAGGCTAATAGTACAGGTTTAAAAATTACGCAGAGTTTCAAATCATTGTCATTATGTTAAATTATATAATCTTGGGCAAAGTGATCTTCCTTTGCCTCAGTTTCTTCACTTGTAAAGCAAAAATTAAAAAAATTTTTCAAGCACAGGGTCATTTTAAGCATCAAATAAAATGAAACATCCTGCTACAGTACTTGGCAGGTAGTAAGCATCAATAAATGCCAATTATAAGAAAAACAAACAAAAATGCTTAGTGGTATTATCATCACATTATAATTTGAAAGATGGACATAGGATAGTGCCAGCCCTTTGGAATGTTTTTCTAACGTTACCTACAGCATTTATTCTTCTTTTCTTATATCCGAGCCTCCCTCTACCCAGGGTTTAAAAGTGTTCTCCATTAGAGTTCCTGCACACTCTTGGTTGCATTTTTGAAGTCCTTATACACAGAATAGCCATCCTTTTTTGCCTTGGGTCTACATCCTTGAAAGTTCCTCTTCATTCTTATCATATAACTGTGGAAACTGAATTCAAAGCCCAAATCTCTTTACAAATAATTTCCAGCTACACAGTCCGAAAGCTGCCCGCCTGAAAAAATTGGAGGATCCTGAGGCATGAAATAGAAAGAGACATGAATTATTTTTTAAAAATGTGTACATTTATATTTAATATGCCCATCTCAACAGAAAGCTTTTGAAGCAATTGCAAATTCAATCTGGTTCACTCAAAGTGAAAAAACATGGTTAAAACATTTGAGATGTTTTAAAAAGCATTGCCCAAAGGGTTCTTGAAGGAGGTAGAATTCCAAGAAGTTTCTAAATAAAACAAATATCTGGGTCTAGGATTTTCCAGTTTTTGTTTTGTCTCTTCCTCTCCCTTTTTACTCACTTTCTTTTCCAGTACATGATCTTCAGACTGTGTTTCAAAGAATATGATTCCAACTGCTCTCATCTGGCCTGTTTTTCTGGCTTAGTGTACAATATTGTGGTAAAGGCTTCAACATCAGTAATAATGACTGTAGAAGGAATGCCAAAAAGATCCACACTGACACAATTTAATAGAAAATTAGCTGTAAAAACACATTTACTTATAATAACGATACATACATTCACTAAAATAGTGTTAAAAATCAAAGCCCTCCATCCCTCCTCTCCCTTTTTTCTTTTTACTTTTTCTTCTTCTTTTAATGCTGTTACAGTTTTTAAATGTACAGTTTAGTGGTATTAAATGCACTCACATCTTACTCTTTTGGATGAAGAATCTAGGTCTCATCTTTGTACCAGTAGATTCCGGAGGAGTAGAATAATTCTTCCTAGAAAGAAAGATGCTCTGGAGAAGGAGCTTTGATCTTTCCTTGCACACTACTTAGGTAGAGTTACCTGACAGCTGTGGGTACCTGTACCTGTGGAAAGAATCATGGCAGTGTTAGAGGTGCAGATTTCAAAGACTCTGAAAGGTGGCTCTGATTATCCTGTGCCCTGTTTTTGGACCCTGACCTCTACTGTATCAGAACCCAGCAAAAAGTTTCTTTAAATTTGCCTAGAAAATAAGAATGCAGGGCTGGGGTTGTGGCTCAGCAGTGGAGCACTCGTCTAGCATGTGCAAGACCCTGGGTTCAATCCTCAGCATGACATAAAAATAAATAAATAAAATAAAGGTATTGTATCCAACTACAACTAAAAAATAAAAATATTTTTAAAAATTTTAAAAAATAAGAAAATAAGAATGCAACATGGGCGGTTCATCATCAGTAGCAAGCAGTTGTTTAGTAACAGCTGTGTAGAATAACAGGCAACAGCAAAATCACAGTCCTTCTGATCTTACTGGGAAAAAAGGACATGTGCATTGACATGTACACATAAATTAAAATTCTTGAAGACAATATGTTGCTACAGGAGTTCAGAAGTTGGAGTAATTTCTATAAGTTGCAATCATTTTTATCTAATTGTTGCATACAATGTAAATTTTAATTGAAATAAAATGTCTCATGTTATATGCAGAATTTGAAATTATGTACCCAAAAGGGAAAAAGGTTCAATAATTAGGTAATGTCAAAGCCAGTTTGTACAACTGTTTCTGTTATAGCCACATGACAGCTTCACTATAGGTAAAAGAGAAATACCTGATGGCCTTTATCAATCTGGTAGGAAAATAGGTTCTGAATTATGAGAGCTATGACTAATGAGTACTCCTTAGGAATGCACTTCTCTGTTAAATGCACTGCCCTTGTGGTCTGAAGCCTTTGATGTTCTTGAAGGCAATTGCACTAATTATTCTACATTATTTTCTTCTTTTTCTGGTGGAAGCATAATGACTCTAGTATAACAGAACAAATCTTCCTGTGGATGAAATAGAAATATCTTATAAAATATAAATATCATATATGAAGTCTGAATTCCCAGGATCTCAACAAAAATGAGAGACTATGGATTGTGGCATATATCTTCTCTTCACTTCCTATCAATGAGATCAATGCAGAAATTGAAAATAGAGCCCCACATTGATAAGACAGAAATCTAAATATATTACTAAGACTTTGAAAGATGTTTCAAGAAAGTGGTCAGAGCTGGGGATGTAGGTCAATGGTAGAGCACTTGCCTAATGTGCACAAGTCCCTGGGTTTAATTCCCAGAATCACAAGCTGGAAGGGGCATCAGTAGTTCAGAATTATGGCTCATCCCACCCAGGAGCATGGAAAAATGCAATCAGCTCAACTGTTGTCTGCTTATTAATGAAATCCTGGTTCACATAGTGGAGCTAAGTTGACCTGAGGGCTAAACCCTATGTCATTCTAACTGATTCAAACAGTGATTTTAACTGACATTTTTTTTTTTCTGAATTAAGATCACTGGGGGCCCATCTGAGTGTTGAGGTTTGTCAGGGAATGCTCACCATCAGTAATTTTTAGATTGATTCAAACCCCTTGATCAGTGGAGGATGAATGAGAAAGTGGAATCCATTAGGCAACTTATAATGGAGGAAAATAGCAGAAGTGATTGCTGCACTTTTGACAGACTGCAGCATGTAAATTATATTATAAATGATGTGCAAATTTGCACCAATTACTTGATTCAAGAGCTCCCAGGTTTGAAGCACAAAGTACCGTATTTGTAGTCAGAGCAAAGTCTTCACCTTAAGGATGATTATTCCTGTAGGAAGGAGATCCACTTGGGCTCCAGGGTGTACAAGTTTTCAATTCAATGCCAAGGCAGTTGACTGCTTTTTCTTTCCTCTTCTCCCCTGTCTTGCAGACCAGATGACGTGCTCCTGCATCGTACGCATGATGAGATTGTCCTCCTGCACTGCTTCCTCTGGCCCCTAGTGACATTTGTGGTGGGCGTTCTCATTGTGGTTCTAACCATCTGTGCCAAGAGCCTGGCAGTCAAGGCAGAAGCCATGAAGAAGCGCAAGTTCTCTTAAATGGGATAGCCTTATGGGAAGCAAAGCACAGAAGCTGCACGCCTGGGCACATGTCCACCTGCAGAGCCCGTGTTTCCTGGAGCAGGAGATGGAAGGGGCTGAGACAGGTCTCCGAGAGCCTCCTCCCTCAGTGGCAGCAGAAACAGGCACAACTGGAAGACTTGGAACCTCATAGCTTATATTCCATGTGTCGTAGCAATGGCTAAAGGGTCAAGCTCTTAGCTATATGGAGTAACTGTTTCAGAAAACCCTATAAGAAGTTGATTTTCTTTGGAAAGTAACAGTATATTATTTGTATAGTGTAGTATACAAACCATTATGATTTATGCTACTTAAGAATATTAAAATAAGAGTGGTCTGTGTTCTTTTCTATTTCCTTTTTTTTATGCTTAGAACACCAGGGGTTTTAAAAAACAAACAAGGTTTTCTGCTTTTCATTTGACTCTGCTAAATTTAACTTTTACTTGACAGCAAGGATTTCTGCAGAAGCCTTGATCATACTGTATAACCTTCAGTTTCCACAATTAAAGAGTATCTTTTGATTCCTCCTTGAAGAATGAATTATGCACTGGTAATTCCAGTTATTTCTGTGTCTCCATGTCCTCTACCACCTGCCTAGGCCTCACCCATTATTTTTTACTTCTTAAGAGAGTGAGACGATTCTGAAGAAGGCCTGTCCACACTCTAAGAGCACAGGGCTCCTTGATTCATCCATTCATGTTATTTCTGATGAATTTTTATTTTATCTCTGTGCACTCTAATATACATGATATAAAGGACACTCTTCAGCTTACAATTAAAGGCTGTTTTCTGTTTTTAAATTTTAGGTCAAAAAATAATGCAAAGTCAGTTCAGAGCATTTTTTTCTTTTTCTTTGTCCTTGATTTGATGTTCTGGAGGTAATACAGGGAGATTGCCACAGTTTCATTTACTTAGACAAATCTGGAGATGTAACCCAGCTCCCACCACTGCTGCTGGGCTTTCTGTGCCTTGACCAAAAGGTCATCAGAGAGACCATACTTCTTTGCACCTGTTCATAAACTCAGATTCCAAATACCAATCACAGGTCTCAGTAAATATCAAAATTATATTCATTTACCATGTAGAACCAAACCTTTGTTTAAATGAAATGTAGATTTTTTAATGGAGGAACCACTGACAATAGTTCTTTCTGCTTCCTTTGCATATTCCACGGATATGTTTCTATTAGGAGAAAGGCAAATTGGAATGTAAGGACAAGTTCCCTTCAATTATTCCCATAGGATTCAAAAAAAGATCTGAATTATTGGGAATGATGATTTCCTGACTTTTGGTCCATAAACCAATGTTTATTTTACAATGTAAATTTTTGAGAGCATTATAATTCTCTATGAAAGAAAGTTGGATGAGTCTGATCACTTTTTTTTTCCCTAATTCAAGCGTTACAGGTTTCACTGTGAAAAAGGCCTTGAACACACTATTTATGACATCCTTTGAAGTAGCTACAGTGCCTTGACTTCAATCCCAGTTTTCTGTTGCCGTGTCCCTGTTGTCTTAGCAACACAGTGACTATTCTGAAGCAAGTAATATGAAACTGGGAATCAGAGAAAATCATCATCTTTGCATTACATGGGTGGGGAGATGAAGTCTACTCTCTTCATATTATCTTTATCCAAGAGTCCATGATTACTTGATGACAGAGAGTAGATAAAATTTAACAGTGCACGGACATATGTTCATCTTGAGAAAAGGAAAGTTGATATATATCAATCTGAGTTTTCATTTGTCAGTTTGATACTCATGGTTTATATTAACTAAATGCTTCCACTTAGGCTCAAAGAGCATGTACAACTGTATTGTATGGGTTGATTTTGGGGGGCAAGAGAAGAACACTGAATCCAGGAGGTCTTACGTAGTTTTAGAGTCTAACTTGCTTATAGCCAGTTAAATTTGAGGCTCCTTATTTATACTTAACAAAGGTAAAGCCCAAAGAAGCAAGGAAAGGACCTTTAAGGTTATAAAAGGCAAAGAAGCTTAACTTCTTAATATTTTCATTCTCTTTTTGTATATATCAGAAAATGGACCAAGCTGCTATAACAAAGAGGCCACAAAATGGGATGGCTCATGTAAGATAGAAGTTTATTTCTTCCTCAAAATGCAACCCAGAAGTAGTCTATGAGTTGAGAGTCGGTAGGCCAAGTCTCTTTCACATGGTAATCAAGGGATCCAGGATTCACCTACCTGTTCTTCTCTCATTACCAAGGGAGTTGTTCATTCCATGGTCAACAGGTCTCAGAGAAATGCATCTACTTTATAATTTGGAAAAAAAAAAAGGAAGTTGGGAGAAGGTATTTCTTTTTAAGGAAGTTTCATGCATCACTTGTGCCCAAATATGTTCTTCTTATTACCTAGCTTCAAGGAAGGCCAGGTTATGTTTCCAGCTAGACATGTACCCTAATATACTTCAGGGGGAGTATTTCTAAAAGGTAAAAAAGGAGAGAATGAATATAAAATAAAAGACAAGAAAGATGGACAGCACTCAGTGGCCCACATCATGATGAAAATCTGCTGAGCAGGCATGGGAAAGATTCCTCGCCCTGCCAGAAGGTCAAGTCCTTCTTGGCTGAACTGCAGATCTGCTCTCTGGAAGAAACTCCCTTGTCCTTTGGGCTCTGTGGCCCCTTAATTTGAACTCTAGAAATGTTTTGCTAATCAACTCCCATGGTCACATCTGAAACTTTTGAGGGGTCTTACGGCTTTAGCAGCTCCCTTTCTGCTGGTGCAGACTTATAGACCTAGATTACCTTAGGGAATTAAACAACAGGCCCTTACAGGCCAGGATTATAGCTCACCAGTCTGTCAAAAGACTTCAACTCCTTTTTTGATGTTGCTAACTGCTTTAAGCTTCACCATTTCTCTTTCCCTCTGTGCTTCGCATCTGGGCAAGCCCGTGGAAGCCTGGGTGACGCCTCCTTTGGGCCCAGCAGGAAGTTCAAATCACCCAAACCCTGGCCTGCTTGCAGGAACCTTCACCCCAGCCTCAGACTCCAAGAACAATAATAAAAGCCAAGCCAGTTCTGGACCCACTTGGGGAGTCTACTGTGTCTCCCTGGAAAGTCTCTGTATATGAATAATAAACCTTTCATACCCTTTTGGTGTGTGTGTGTGTGTGTGTGTGATATTAATGGTTCTGAACATCTGAACTGAATTCATAACCCCTGCCTCTGAATTTTGGGAAGTGGCGGCAACGAGGTTTCATCTGGTATTTTAAGGCTGATTATAACATTGATATAATTTCATCAGAAATGGTTTTCTGATCTGTTCACTTTCAGTTATTTCATGTGAAAGTAACTATAGCCAGAGCTATTCTGATTATAATTAACAAGCCAACACTTGCTGTACCTGGCCTATACCTCTGTACCTCAATTGGATAGCAGCCACCTTGAAGCCTCTTGGACAACGAGTTTAGGTGGAACATAATACTTTTCATCTCATTTTTTTTTTTTTCCTGCTAAGTTGACTCCCATTATCTGGTCAGTAATAGTTGACGGAAGACTTTCAAGAAAAACTCTGAATGATAACCACATTTTCTGCTGTTTGGAGTACCAGAGATGTTGAACCTCGGGGCAGAGACACAGCTTCTGCAAAAAGCTGTGTTACCTGCTTGTAAACTATTTTTATTTTTAATTTTTTTTCTCATTCAACTATTTCGCATAGTACTACTATGGTTTGTCCACCAGGGATTCATACACTGGAGGCTTGATCTCCAATGTGTGATACTGTTGAGTTAGTAGAACCTTTAGCAGGAGAGCCCATGGGATCACAGTCCTCAGAAGGACTTCATGCAGGGGCTGGAGTAATTCCCACAAGAGTGTTTGCCACTTTTGCATGTTCCCCCACCACTGTGATGTCATCAGCCATGAGACCCTCACTAGAGCTGAGGAGCCATGCTTTGGAGCTAAATAAACTGTGAGGTAAAGAAAAAAAAAAACTTCTTTATACCTTACCCAATCTTGAGTATTTTGTTATACAAAATAGTCTAAATGAATACCTTACTAAAACAGCAGATACTAATCATCACTCTGTTTTTTTCTAACCACTTTTCTCACAGTGAGTGTGCCTTCCCAGCTGTTACTGGTAACACTTTTACCTAATAGTTTGTTAAAACATCACAAAGGGTCTCTAGTTTTCCATCCTGCAATGTCTCTTTCCTCATTGCCTGGTGCCCTTCCGTAGCCACACAGTTTCAATTTTTGTTGTTGTTATGATAGCACTTTTCCATTTCTCAATGTGAAACAGGAGAATCACATAACAAAATAGCAAAAGACTGGGTGATCTGAAGAACAGGAATTTATTTTCTCACAGTTCTGGAGGCTAGAAGTCCAAGATCAGCTATCAGCAGTTGGAGTTTCTCCTGAGGCCTCTCTTGGCTTGCAGCTGGCCGCCTTCTCACTGTGTTCTCCTGTGGGACACTACTGGTATATCTTCATTCCTGTAAGAACATCAGTCCTGTGGGATTAGGGAATTGCCCTTATGACCTAATTTAACTTTAATTTTTAAAAATTTTTTAAAAATAATGTTAAGGTATTTTTAAAATTTTATTTATTTATTTATTTATTTATCTATCTATTTTTTAGTTGGTGCTGAGAATCAACCCAGTGCCTCACACATGCTCTACCACTGAGGCACACCATAGCCCCCTTAATTACTTCTTTTTTTAAAAAAAAAATGTGTATTTTTTTAATTGTAGGTGGACACAGTACCATTATTTTATTTTTATGTGGTGCTGAGGATTGAACCCAGTGCTTCACTTGTGCCAGGTAAGCGCTCAACCACTCAGCCCCAGCCCCAGCCCCAACCTCCTTTTAATTACTTCTTTAAAGGCCATTGAAGGGCCAAATCTCCAAATACAGCTTCACTTGGATTGGGGCTTCAAGCTATGAACGTTAGGGGTACAAAATTTAGTCTGAAACATTTTCGTACCAAATTCAAAACTGTAAGGGTAATAGGTGAAGCCACTGTTACAGAAATACCGAGACCAGAGTAGTTCACCTATAGCGTTTTCTCTCCTGTCGCCAGCCAGAAATAATCCATGGAGATGTCCAGGGACTTGTCTTCCTTCTCCTTGTTTTCCTGCCCTTCCCTAGGATGTCCTCATCAGGACAGGCAGCTCAGAAGGGGGACATAAACAAAGAAAGGGCAGGCATACACATTTCAAGAAAGGGAGACAGAAGTTGTATATTTCAGTTCTGTATACATCCCTTTGGTGAGAAATGGGCCTCTTGCAGAGCAGTGGTGTCTTCTAAAGGTTGGGACATGGGTTCTACTAGTTAAGCAAAGAGAAGAAGGATGAGTGAGGAGGAAAATGGTCAGTCCCATACTACATTCCTCTAGTGAACCCTGTACACATGGAAGTAAATAAATTGTTGAGTGTGAGAAGAGAATTGGTCCTGAAAAGAATGATTGCTTTTTGAAATTGAGATAATTCTTTCCATTATTTCATGTTCCTAAAATTAAAGTTTAATTAAATAAGCTTAATTTAATCACTGTTATGATTAAAATTGAATTAACCACAATTTTCTTAAAAACCAGTAAGAGAGCGAGAAGACAGAGAAATTTTGTTCTTCTGCTAGCCATAAGAAATTTCAGAATGGTAAGGGGACAGGGTGCTTTAGGCAGGATGTTGCATAGAAGTGATTTTAAAGACAGCCAATAGAGTTTGGAATTCTTAATGTGTATAGCAGAATCGGTGTGCTTCTTTAATCAAAATAAGAATTTCTATCTTTTTTAATGCATTGCAGTTGTAAGAAAATATTGTATTTCCTAGAATGTAGAAATTTTTAGAATTATAGGAAATTTTTAGAATTGCTAGGTTCAGTGGTGCATGCTTATAATCCCAATGACTCTGGAAGCTGAGTCAGGAGGATCAGGGTTCAAAGCCAGCCTCAGCAACTAAGTGAGGCCTTGAGCAACTTAGAGAGACCCTGTCTCAAAATAAAAAATAAAAGGGCTGGGGATGTGGTTCAGTGGTAAAGCACCTCTGGGTTCAATCCCTGGTACAAAAAAAAAAAAAAAAAAGAAAAGAAAAGAGGAAAGAAAAAGGAAGAAAGAAAGAAAAGGAAGGAAATAGAAAGAAACATAGGGTTTCATAAAAGAGAACAGAGATATTTTATTAGGATGAATATGACTTCATGTGAGGAATTATCTAAATAAAAGAGAAACCAAAGAGGGAATTTGAAGTCAAACAGCTTGAATTTGAATCCAGCCATTCCATCTTCCCGGCTTTATGATATTGGGCAAGTTAGTTAATTTCTACAGTTCTCTCAAGTATAAAGTGAGGCTGATCTGGTAGCATATCACTGGGGAAGGATTAAATGAAACAATAAAGGAGACATGCTAAGAATACAGTGCCAGACCCACAAATACTGTGATGATGATAGTGATGGTGGTGATCATGATGTTGACGGTCATCATGAAGGTGTTGCTATAGCATTATTTCAGTAAAAAGCAAAAGATGGTCTCAAAACCAATTTTTTCCAATCTGTTTTCATTATTCAGATATTTCTTACTTAATCACTACCAGTCCAAGATAAGACCAATACTGGGCGTTTCCTTTTGTGAAATTCTATCCCTGGTTTGTTTTTATTTCCAAACCTCTAACTCAAAAAAAAAAAAAAAAAAAGTCTCTACAGTCCAGATTCTTCTGAAATCTCAATTTTATTCCATCTTAATACATTGCTGTTTTGAAATTTTCCACATCACAGACTTAGCAATTTCCAACGTTATTAAAAGATGTTTCTTCTTTTTGATGCAAAGCAATTACTGGGATTCTTTCTTTTCCCAGAGATGAAATCCACAGAACATGCTCCTCTTTGTCCATCTTTGTACAAATTGAATTGAAAATGGCTGGGGTACTTTTTGCATGATTAATACATTCTCTAAAAAGAGGCAACAATTCTATATTCCGAAGTTTGGAATGTATAAAATATTTTCTGTATCTCATTAGCAAGTCTCTGACTCAGGGTAACTTTTACAAAGGCTTTTTTTCCTCTGTGCTTCCCAAACGACAACTAATGAGGCTGATGAATGTCACCATGTGGGCTCTACACATATATGACAAGTGGAAAAAAGATCCAATTAAGGCCTGAACTTCCAAATGACATCTAGAAGCAATGAGAAATTCAAACAAGACCACCCTGAGTCTTTCAAGGAATTGGAGCTGTTTGAAGTTTGAGAGAAATGCTTTTAGTCATGTGAAAGTCAGTGATGTTAAAGGTCACATGTGAAACTCCCTCCCAGAGTTCTAGCATTCATGGTAGTGGAGATGTATACAGAGTTAATGAGATAAAACCAAGAGAAGAAAGACACATGTTGATGTCAGGAGATGTGCCTGGCTAAATGCCAGATCTTGTTCATAGCAAGTTGAAGGCATCCAATCCTTCAACTGCACTGCACACAACACTCTGCATCATGAATCTAATTGCTGCCATCATGCCCAATCCTACAAGTGTCTGTAATTAACAGAACAGCGCAGGGGTCGCCTTTGGACATTTGTCCCATTTAGCAGACAGCAGTTATTGAACTTGCATCTCTGCTTCAAGTTTAGGATGGCTGGGTGGGTGCAGCCAACTGCAGGAGGCCATTTGTTCCCCATTACAAAGTAACAAAGGGAAGATTCCTGGTAGAAATGTGACAATGATTTCTGAGCCTGGGGCTGGGATGGGAGCAGTGCTAAGGTATAATCTCAGACCTGACCCACCCACCCCAGCAATAGCACAGACATTTGCTCTTCTACGTAAAACCAGGGCCTGAAATCAAATTTGATCATCATGGCAGTAGGTGGGGAGGGTCTCTAGAACAGACAGACCTGGAGAAAGTGAGGAAGGAGTTCTTGATTGGCAGATGCATATGTGTTCCTCAGATTGTCCTCCTGTAGGCACATAGCTGTCTGTTCTTCTCACTGTGGGCTACAGAATACAGTCAAAGAAACCTCCACTGACTCATTGTGGAGTGCAGAGTAATATCTAGGTAGAGTATTACCCAATTAATACTAGATGTACTTTTTTTTGAAGATTTTCTCTGAGGGGTCTCATTCATGCCCTGGTTTTATCTGTCATCGCAGGTGTGATTCCCAGGTTGACTATTGCTTGCT